AAATATATAATACAGAGAGTCCCAGTGTAAATATGTAATACAGAGTCCAGATATAAATATGTAATACAGAGAGAGGGTCCCAATTTCTAGGTGCCAAAGATTCCTGAGCAAGAAAGATAAGCATAAGCAGATATTGGGTTCCACTCTGGACATGCTGGCCAAACATTGAGTCCTGTCCCGTAGACTGATTGAAAGAATGGGACTTAAATGGAGCAGTGCTTACCATTCAGTAGATCGCCTGTAGTGTAACATTAGTACAGCCATGGCTTTGACAGCAGATTTCTTATCCCTGATTCTTACTGGCTTGGTTTTTAATTTTAGGGTGGAGATGGCGATTGTGAGGGGAAGAATTTGAAGAGGAACAGTTTTTTTTTTCCCGATAGTGTTTTGTCTTTTAAGTAATCTTAAAAATACAAGCTTGACAACTCTTCCCTTTTTATTTTATACACAACAGAATGTAACATAGGTTGCTGTTGAGATAGCCATCTATTCTGTCTGCATCAGCATCATCTGCTTTTTTTTTTGTTAGCAGAATTTTAACCATTTTTCTCTTCTAAAAACTGGCATTTTGATGCTGCGATCTGGAATTATAACATCACATTCCCTCTGACTGCTCCTTCCTTGCCGTGATTACTGAGTGGATAGCACAGCATCTCATGATACACCCTGCTCCCCTGCTCTCCAGGCCTCCAAGCAGTTGTCTCCTGGAAAGCTCTGGCTTCTTCAAGTGAATGCTTGATGAACCTCCTTTCTGTTATCTTTGTAACTATCCATTACGAAAGACGTTCTGTTGGTCAGCAGTGACGCATTTATAATACCTATGTAACATTTACAATGATATGATGTCCCAGGGTTAAATTCCTGTAAATCAATCAATTGCCTGCATTCTCCCAGTTCCCTAGACTGATAGTGCCTTCCATTTAGCTGGAAGAATTTCCCTAAAGAAACTATGTTCAACCTGGGAAAGGTTTACTTTCTCTGCTGGCTGTTTTCTGTTGCTGAATAATACAGACTGGGTAATTAACATAAAAAAATCAAGATTATTTAGCTCATGGTTCTGGAGGCTAGAAGTCCACTGCCACAGGCTGACTTCTTTCGGGATCTGAGAGGGCCTTGCTACAGTCAAACATGGTAGAGGTCACCACGTAGAGAGGCAGAGCAAGCCACTAATACATGGAGGTACCAGTTCATGACCTCATCTATTCTGAGTTACCTTCTAACGGCCCCAGATGCCTCAGGCCATTGACATATTAGCTCGGGGTTAAGTTTATAGCACATTAACTCCTTGTCCTGCACCCCCCCCTCCTGCGCCCCTGC